GGTGTTTTCCGATACTTCATAGTGGACGTTGTGGATCTCTGAATCCATCCCAGAGGTAGCGCGCTGCGGCCGTGAACTAGGTGAAAAAATCTTGAGTCATGAACAAGTTTATATGTGAATTCGTATGAATAGGTCCAGAACTTAGCTTCCGTAACAAGTGGGTATCATATCAGTACAAGTGGTATCAAAGCGCCAACAAATAACAACACACCCTATTTTATTTGTGTAAACAAGCATTTTCTATTCATTTCATTTTACGAAATATTTCACCCTTAATCATATAAGAATTATTCAGTAGAATTATTATAGAGAAAGCTGGTGACCTCGAACTCACCATAAGTTCTTGGAAAAAAAGTTTATGAAATGTCAATACACTCGAGCTTTAGGAGGGAAAGTGTCAACCTCATCGTCCAATGTGTTCATGTGGACGGGTCTGTACTCCAGTTTCACCTTCCCTTCTTCCCAATACCTTCAACATATACATAAAATAAATCCTCCAAAACTACACAAAGACATTTCATTAATGTAGTAAATCATTGGTCTACTATTATACCCCAATGTGTGCTTCATCCAATTCACATCGTCTCGTTTCTGAAAAACAACCATACCAAAGTTCCTCTACGTTATATCGACTCAAGACAATGTTGTAATGTTATGAAAGGAACATAGAACTTACCGTGAAATCCTCACGAGCATGTGCTCCACGACTCTCCTTTCGAGCCTCGGCAGAATGCATTGTTATACACGCATTAATCAAAAGATTTTCTAACTCCATAGTCTCTATCAAATCCGAGTTCCTAAAGTGCAAAGTTTTGATAACATAGCTTAATAATTAGCCTAAAGATAGTTTTAAACGTTTTTTTAAAAAGAGAAGCAGTCTCACCATATCAAGCTCTTATCCTTCACTTTGACATCACCAAAACTGTCCCAAGTCTTATCGATCAAATCACATCCTATAGTAAACAAAAATTTTAAACTATATTCACTCAAAAACCTCATTAGGTCATAAGTTTTGACTGTTTGTTACCTTCCTCTAGTGTTTCTTGGGTACGGAAGACAGCAGCATTGTTCTGCATTACTCTTTGCATGTTCAATCTGATTTTAGAAGTTGGAAGTGACCCATTTGCGTTTCTTATTTGGTGCAACCATTCAATACTCTTCTCACCCGCATCCTTCTCTAAAGGTCTTAGTTTCTCTCCTTTAAAACATCATAAAGCAAAGATCTTTCAGATGCATCAACATGCAGAGCTGGGAATATATGAATTTTCATACCTGGTTTTTGAATCTCTGCAACTCTGTTTGCACAAGCTCGGCCAAAAACAACAATGTCAAGAAGTGAGTTTGCACCAAGTCTATTGGCGCCATGAACAGAAGCAGATGCTGCTTCTCCTGCAGCCATTAGTCCAGGAACTACAGAATCTGGATCATCACCTCTAACAGTAATCACCTGGAAAATAACAGTTTTCAAATGCTGAACATAATCCATATATATGTTGTAAAATAGTTTTTGTCATATTCTTTACCTCTCCATGGTAGTTCGTGGGAATGCCACCCATATTATAATGCACAGTAGGCAACACAGGAATAGGCTCTCTTGTAACATCGACACCAGCGAAAATAGCAGCAGTTTCAGATATACCAGGAAGCCTCTCCTTAAGCACATCTGGTGGTAGATGGTTTAGGTGAAGGTAGATATGATCCTTCATAGGTCCTGTTATACAATAATGTTATTTTCTTTTATAATATATGTGTGAGTCTAAATTAAGGTAATACACTCTCAAAAGGAGTAACGGTCTTACCTGCACCACGTTCTTCCCGGATTTCCATAGTCATAGATCTTGAGACGACATCTCTTGAAGCAAGATCTCTAGCTGTGGGTGCATACCGGTCCATAAATTTCTCCCCTTCACTGTTTCTGAGAATCCCACCTTCACCTCGAGCTCCTAAAATATTTAAACTGTCAAAGTCAAGAACCATTTTCTTGTCTAAATCCTCCAATGTAAGAAGAAACAAATACCTTCAGTAATGAGACATCCAGCTCCATAGATACCAGTAGGATGAAACTGAACAAACTCCAAGTCCTGCAGAGGAAGCCCGGCACGTGCAACCATTGCATTTCCATCCCCTGTGCATGTATGTGCTGAAGTTGCTGAGAAATAAGCTCTTCCATACCCCTGAAGACAGTTTGAGATACTGATTTGGTACTGTGTGGTTTCACAAATCCAAAACAAGATACATTTCAAGCAACACATTATCATCTTACTCCGGTAGCCAGAATAGTAGAACCAGCGTGGAAACGATGTAAAGTGCCATCTTCCATGTTCAGTGCTATGACTCCCTGACATGTTCCTGCTCATCACATATACCAAACGCATTTAAAAATTGTCGTACTTATTTTTCAGAGTTCAGAGGATCTTTTTAAAAGAATCATATTAGTACTTATAGCGTTTCTTGATTATGCAACTATAATGGAATTTGTTTTTTTTTTTTTTTTTGATAACCCTGGAGATCCCAAAGGCTTAATCAACCTACTGAATCAGCACTTACCATCACTATTCATAATCAAATCCAAGGCAAAGTACTCAACAAAGAACTGAGTGTTGTGTTTCATTGCTTGGCCATAAAGAGTGTGTAATAAAGCATGCCCAGTGCGGTCAGCAGCACATGCGCAACGGTATGCTTGACCACCTGGATAAAGTACAATGATAAGAAGGTTCATAAGCAAGTAATCTTCCACATGATATATATACCAACTTGAGAGATTGCATGAATCAAAGATTAAAACCTTTCCCAAAGTCCAGACTCTGACCACCAAACGCTCGTTGATATATTTTTCCATCTTCAGTTCGAGAAAAAGGCAATCCGTAGTTCTCAAGCTCAATCACAGCTTTTGGAGCTTCCCTGCACATATACTGAATTGCATCTTGATCACCTGTACAAGAAACAAAATATACAGGTTACATCTAAAAACAGAAACTTAGAGACATGTTATTCGTAGCCTAAGTAAGAAACTACTTCAGTAGAAACTGCTTAATTACATAGGCATGGGCGTTAACTAACAAGAACCGAAGAACTAAAGCAAGAAAATCATAAATCCAAATGGTTCATCTGTTCTTATGCCAAATAAAACTGGAACCAATCCAAAAACCTAACAGATATCCGAATATCCAAAATCTGGTTTATGTATAATTAAATATTGGTTATATTTAAAATTAACATAACCAAATACCTAAAAGTATAATGTAAATCAAATATCTAGTATATGAAATTACTCGAGAACCCCCTCGACTATCTGATAACTTTACTCGAAATATCCAAAAATTGAACTGAGTCAGAACCAAACTGAACCCAGTTTTTTTAATGGTATTAGATGGTTTTCAATTTTATTATCTGAATGAAACCGAAAATGAAATATCGGAACTAAAACCAACTGAAATTTTATAAATGTTTGAATGGTTCATATATTTCTATATATCAAGAAAACATAAACAGAAAACAAACAAAACAAAAAACGAACTTCAACCTAATGCTAAGTGTACATGTTAGATTGCAAATCAACATGTTACATTCACTATAGCAGACAAAACAAGATCCAAGTATTCGAAATACAAGAAGCCTTGAAATATTAACTCAATCTGTCTAATCCTCATTTAGAGTTTTAGGTCCAAAATAAGAACACCATACCTAGCCAATCACTTCCTTTGACGGTATCATACATATGCCATCTCCAGTCATCTTCAGTCATATTACCCAATGCAGCATTTATACCTCCCTGAAAAAAATAGCTTATCAACCACAGAGCAAAAGAGTGAAATAAGGAGAATAAAATTAAGGCAATGTAGTAGTAGGTACCTGAGCAGCAACCGTATGAGAACGAGTTGGAAAAAGCTTAGTGATGCATGCTGTGTTAAAACCATGTTCTGATAGTCCTATAGCAGCTCTAAGCCCAGCACCACCTGCTCCTACAACGACCGCATCATAAGTATGATCAACGATTGTATAATCTCCTGTCGTCTGCCACAGAGATTACATACAATTTTGTATCAGAATTGGATAATGCTATCTCACAAATACTGTCACAAAGTAAGAAGATCGAAGCTATTAGAAGGAGCCGACTTAAACTAAATAAATCCTTCCTAATTAAGAAACACAAAACAAAATTACCCAAATTATTTTCTAAACTCGAAAACATTTACACATTAGCCTGTGCAGAGATCCGAATTGAAAATCACTAAACAAAATAGTAGAAATAAGGAGAAAAAAATAAAAACAAGATGTTCCAAAAAAAGTCAAGGAAATAGGCGAATATGTAGATGCAAGATATTTTCTTAACTCAATAAATATACAATAAAAACATTTAGACAATAAACTCGTAGATTTTTTTTTTTTGAAACACGAATAGACTCTAGTTATGGATTAAGACGAATAAATCATATAGATTGATCGACCAATTCGTGTATAGTCTACACATAGAGGCTTAAACGAAAACGAGGATTGTAAGACAACAATGTCGTACCGAACGAGCAGAGAAGAATCTCGTGGAGACTTGAGGACTGATGAGAGCACCATCAGATTCCGATCTCCTGGACGCAGCTCGAAGGCGACGAGACACAAACCGCCACATTCTCTCCGTTCGTTACTACTCAGCACGAGTTCGTTACGATGGTAAATGGCATTTTGTCAACACCATGTCGCGTTTTAAAATTTGACTCCCTCTCACAAGTGGGGTTAATGATTGCACGTTGAGATAGTTATTCAAATTCTTCTGCCACGTTGGTTACTGGGCTTTCTAATTAAGCCCAATTTTGACCATGAAGACCATAATGGGCCAGCGTCTGCATAACAGCAATAGAAATGCATGCTTAGCTTTAGCGAAAGCAGTTCGTTGCTCTTACACAAACAGGAGAAGAGACACATCGGAGATCAACGAAACGATTCAGACAGAGATTCTGGAGAGATCATCACCGAGAAACTGAGATTTGGGGGTGAAAGAGAGAGAGATGGAAACGAGGGAGAGAGATCTGGAGCGGCTGATCCCGATGCATAAATCAGGAGAGGTCGTTCTCTCTGTGCCGCCGTCTCCACTCGCCTCACCGATTCACGTCGCCGGAAGAGAGGTTCTCTTTACGATTTTTTGATATTTAATTTGTAATGATTGTGTATCGTTTGTGTTTGACCTAGAGCTCTGAGTTAGTTACTTGTATGTTAAGTAATTCATTGTTTTATGTACAAACAAATTAAATAGGCGGTTTACAAAGTCATTCGAAGCTGGGCCTCCAAGAAGTTCATGACCGGATGGTACATAATCTTTCTTGCTTTGTTGCTGAATGTTGTTACTTGAATTGGTCTGATGATTACTTTTGTAATACAGTGTCATTCTTCTTCCTATCGCTGTCACATTCTACTTCACATGGTGGTTTATTCATTTCGTTGACGGTTTCTTCTCACCAATCTATACCCATCTCGGAATCAATATGTTCGGTTAGTTCCCCATCTCATCTCCAGTCAGCTACATTCAGGTTGGTTCTGGCCTCTGGGCGAGCCTAATGAAATGTTCGCCTTGTCCTCCAAACTTTAAAAAGCATACATAGATTAAAAGTATTTTTGTCTATAAGCCTTATTTTAATATAATATATGGTCTTTTAAATATCCTGATAGGCCTGACTAACATAACTTGTTTACTTATGCAAGGTCTTGGGTTTGTGACATCCATAACATTCATCTTTGTGGTTGGTGTCTTCATGTCCTCATGGCTAGGAGCTTCATTTCTCAGCATTGGAGAATGGTTTATCAAGAAAATGCCTCTCATCAGCTACATCTACTCAGCTTCTAAACAAATCAGCGGAGCTATCTCACCAGGTCATCTCTAGAGGAAAAAAATATATTATTTAATCATTAGATAACTAAACTCACCATTTCTCTCCTTTTTATCAGATCACAGCTCAGGTGCATTCAAGGAGGTAGCCATTATCAGGCATCCTCATAGGGGAGAATATGCTTTTGGATTCATTACATCGACTGTGATTCTCCGAGGCCGTGCTGGCGGAGAAGAGCTCTGTTGTGTCTATGTCCCCACCAATCATCTTTACCTTGGAGACATTTTCCTCATTAGCTCAAAGGACATCATAAGGCCTAATCTCTCAGTCCGTGAAGGCATAGGTAACTTGTAATAACTTGAAATACCTATCTCCACAGAGATTATACATTAGCTGATCTCATTGCTCTGTTTCAACTTTTTTCTTGCTACAGAAATAGTCATCTCTGGTGGCATGTCAATCCCAGAGATACTAACAACGCTGGACGCAGAGACTATTCACAGGACAGTAGCAGGAAGCTTTGCTATTCCACCAGTGTAAATTTTTAAATGTTTTTCTTTTATAATCCGAAGGTTTAGTCTCCAATGGAGCCTCTGATTTTAGGTGACTTTCAACGTTTGTTAATAAAGAATGTTGAAAAAGGTTCATAGAGTTTGAGTATGTGTTTAAGCCTTCATTAGTCTAGACACTGAACAATGACAACGATTGATTTGTCTGGCCTTGTCTCCACTTGTTATCAAATGTTTTGGTAGCATCAGCCCCAAAGTCCTCATCAGGTTTTCCTTCTCTGAAACAGTAACCAGAAGAGCCAACGTTTGTTTTCTTGTCCCGATAGCTTCTTTCCAAAAGCCATGTTGAGATATTTTTTTTCTTCATATGTTTATCTCGGATAACCGAATTTGGTCCAAAGTGCGAGTCATCATTCTATATATTAAATTCTATATATTAAATGAGAAGTCAATGTATAATTAATTCTCTTAATTTGATTGGTTATTGGTATTTAAATTTTTATTTATTTAATTATAGTTTATAAAAGGAAATTAATCATAGATAATCTAATATATATTACCAAACAAATAATTAACCACCTTAAATACATATAACTAATAGAATTTGTTTATAAAAACAATTAACTATCACAGATTCTATTAGGGCTGGGCAATCGGGGTACCAATCGGGTTTCAGTTCGGGTTCATTCGGGTTTCGGGTTTTCGGGTTCATGAATTTTAGCCCTATTCGGATATTATAAAAAATTGGGTCGGATTCGGTTCGGTTTTAGTCGGGTTCGGTTCGGGTTTAGTAACATGTCCAAGATCCGGTTGAACCCGAAATAGTTTCGGTTTCGGATACTAATCGGGTTATCGGTTCTAAAAATACTAATTTATACTCAATTAAACTCACTATATTTTCAATCATTTTATTAAATTTGTGTATTTAGTTTCTACAAACCATATTGTTCTCAATCAAAATAATATTGTGAAACTCATCTATCAACCATATAAGATTTGTCAATGAACTATATGTGACAGCACTAAACATATCATGATTAATGACAAACCAAAGCCTTGTATGAACAAAATATAATACATAATGAAACATAAAAAATTAAAGTTAACAAGTAACAATTCTATAAACATAAGAAGTGCTATTTAAACTTTTAAAAACAACATTATATAAACTTCAAAACAAATTTATTCGTAACTTAACTTCAAATATAATGTCAATCATAAACATTAATATTAACCAAATAACACTATATATTAGACTAAATATTTGAGTTAATTATTTATATCATAAATAATTATTGTAGGTACTCAATAATATATTAATCTATTTTGGAAACATATTAGAAATTTAGATTGGATATGATACAAGTTTTTTTGGAATTTTAAAGTTTCGGGTTCTTTCGGATATCCATTTAAGTTTGGATTCGGTTCGGGTAATTTCCATAACCCGAAATACCGTAAAACAAGATCCATTCGGTACTTATGTCGGGTTCGGATCGGTTCGGGTTCCTTTTTATCGGGTCGGATTCGGTTCGGATTTTCGGGTTCAGTTTTTTTTGCCCAGCCCTAGATTCTATTATAAAAAAATAGAATATACATATAAATACATATTATATTACAGAAATAAGTATATAAACAATTTTAAAATTATTTCTATCAATAATGAATAAATTAATCATACATGACAAATAACTAACTAACCTAAATCTAATAAAATTTCTTATATTCACTCACTATATATGTATTCTTAAAGTATTTTCAATGAATGCAAAACAGTCAAATGTACAATTTTAAAAAATTTCAATCATTTTTCAGAGATAAATGTTGATAGTATAGTTGACTTATCACTTTCAAAAATGATTTAAGTATTTTTTATATTTAAAACAGAAAATGATATGGTAAGTTATTTTAAAAAATATTAATAAATGAAAAAGTTACTATAATATAAAATTTCAAAAATCAGATAATTATATTAATATGAGACTAGAAATTTTTATATGATTGAAAATTTTATTAAATTCCAATCTATTATATTTTCTATCAGAAAATTATATTAATACGAGACTAGAAATTTCAAAAATCAGAAAACATGCCAATTTCATTGAGTATAATAAAATTGGCATGTTTATTTTTAATAAGAAAAAAATAAAAGAGATATAAATAAAAAACATGGCTGAATAATAATAAAACTCTTTGTTGTATTCTTCATTATTTATGTTTTGACATACATATTTTTTTTGTATACCAAAATAATTTTATGTATTACTATAATTGTAAACTAACTAGTTTTAGGTGTTTATACAACATAAAGATAAATTGAGCAAAAAAGATAAATATAAATGATAAGTTCTAAAATTGTTAATGTCGAAAACTGTTGAATCTCACTTTTTATATTAATTAAACTGTTGAATCTCACTTTTTATATTAATTATCTATGTCTAAAATAATGATATCACATCATTTAAGAATTTAGATATTTTTATGATATATAATTAGTTAATCAGATTTACTTTTTTGAAATACAGTTAATCAGATTTACTTAAAATAAGTATGTATTGAAGTAATTTTAAAAAAATGAAAACAATACTTTTGAAAAATATTAATTTTTTCAATTAAAATCTTAGTCAAACGAATCAATGTTTGATAATATAGTGTTAAGATTGGAAAAATTTAATATTGAATTTGTTTGCTTAACCAATTGTGAGTTTTATGTTAAACTCTAAATAAAAAAGATGAATGAAAGGGAGAAAAGAGATGGAGAGATGGTGATGATGAGGATTAGAGTGACGGTTATGATCATGATGAAGATGTTGAGTGAATATAAGTTTGAGATTGAATGTAAGTAAGATAGATCCTGAAATTATTTATTAATACTATGTGAGAGTGTTTTGAAGATTTAACAAAATCTGATGAAATTTTTGCAACCAAAGAGAGATATAGAGAATTTGAAAGTAGAAATTGAGGGTTATAGTAAGGATGAGGGTAAGGGAGTAAATATAAGTGATCGTGAGAGACTGAATGTAAATTGGAAAGATTTTGAGATGATTTGATCAACTGAGAGAGAGAAATGTACAAAGACAGACAAAAAGAATGCAAAGAGAGATACATAAGATACATAATGAATGTGTGTGAAAAAAATTAAGAGAAACAAAATAAGTAAGATAGAAAGATATATAAAGAAAAACGGAGTACATGTGTTAAAGAGAAAGAGAGTTACAATATATTTATACACTTATATTAGTTTTTATACATGCAATGTATAGAATATATTAATGTCCGGAGAGGCGTGCGGACCGTCCGCCTAGTTCTACATATAAGCAGAGACAAAACATATAAAAACTTGAGAAACACTACAAGAAAACACAAATTTTGGTACAACGGTTTTTCGTCGTAATTTCCTAGTAAAGGGGCCTTTACAAGGAAAGTACGAGGAAAGGTGTTTTGTCGTAACACGTTCATCGTAAAGCTTTTTTCCTCGTAATTGCCTTGATTGTTTTTGAGGAAACATTTCCTCGTAAAGGCATGGAGACACATTTCCTCGTAAAGTCCTCGTATAGTTTCCTTGTAAAAGGCACGTAAACTCTCCTCATAAAAGCCTCGAAAACATTATCCTTGTAAAGTCGTCGTAATGCTTTGTCTCGTAAAACCGTCGTAATGTGTTATTAGGAATTTACTTCGATATGATTTTTCCCTATTAAAAAATAATAATAATAAAAATAAATATAAATAATATATTTTAAAAAATTAAAAATCCAAATTATAAAAAAAAATTAACAAAATATTTTATAAATAACTAAATATTTAAGTTTTAAATTCATAATACAATAAAAAAAACTAAACTACAGATGGTGCTCGTTAAATTGACGAACGAAGTCGTCATCCCGGCTCGCCAACTCCTCCTCGTCCATGTTGGTCGTCGGTTGTGACTGTGATGGTGGATGTTGGGTTGGAAGCCCTCCATTTTCCCGTATGACACGCAACATCTCCACCAATTACGGGTTTTCAACCGCCAAAACGTCCAGGATATCGGAGAGATAACTCACATGAGCTTGCGTCGCATGCAACTCCGAGCGCAACTGAGTAGCGACATCGTGCTGTTCCTGAGCATAAGATGATGTCGCTGTGGAGACATTGTTAACGGAACCAGTCCCGACGATACGTCCCTTTTTCCTAGGGGCGACCTTTAAATAAAAAGATTAATAGGTTAGTTAACGTTAAAAAAAAAAAAATTATATAAATAATAAAAATTAATAAGAAAACAAAATATTTACCTCCTCGTAAATCTTATCCACTTAAGGAGTGGATAATATGACGGGTGTCCCAGACTGCTGGGTCAGCTGCGTTTGGCGGTGGTCAACCCAAGCAACAATCTAGTTGTAGATTCGCTCGGATCCAGGATTTACAAAATGCCCAGCCTTGTTCTGGTGGGTCCTCTCGTAAAGGTCTTTCAGAGACGGAAGAACTTCTGTCTCTTTAGCCTAAAAATAATTTTTAAAATTAACTATTAATTAGGAATATAGAAATAGATCAAAAATATTAACTAGTTATTTAAATATTAATTTACCATGTCTAGACGAACTCCCGCGTGAGGTTTTCGACCCCTGGTGTGAAGCATCTTCGTGTTGCCATGCTCGTCTTTTTTCATGCGGTTCTCGGAGTTTATGTTGGAGGTTCTGATCGAGTCTGGCAACCCCCAATATCTGATGAGGCCATCCTACACCGAATATGTGAGGCAATCGGGTTTCCCCTCCTCGTAACCATCCACCTGAACAAAAATAATATTTTTAAAATTATTTGAAGTCAATGATATAAAACTATACAAAATTGATAATTCCACCTGAAAATCGCCCTTCCAGTTGTAGACCATATCGAGCAATCGCTGTTTGCACTTCGCCTCAAACTCTTTCTTCACCCGCTGGTGAATCCCTATGGACCAACAATATTTTTTCTGTAACCAGAAAATATTAGACCAATAATTATTAATTAGTTCAATAATATTAAAAATTTTAAATAAATAAAAAATAAATTAAGTTT